AGTAGGGAGGCTCTGGGCTGAGGGGGTTGGGAGTGCAGGAGAGGCTCTGGGCTGACTCTGGAGTACAGGAAGGGATTCAGGGTGAAGAGTTGGAGTGTAAGAAGGGGGTTCAGGGCTAGGGCTTAGGGTGCAGGCTGTGACTGGATACTGCTGCTGTGCCCAAGCAGTGGCATGGTGGGGCTAAGACAAGTTCACCACCATCCCAGCCCTGTACCACTCCCAAAAGCAGCCAGTATGGCCCTTGTAGCATGCAACTGCTCCTGTCTGCAGGCACTGTCTCCACACCTCCCATTGGCCAGAATTCCCTGTTCCCAACCAATGAGAGCTGTGGAGGTGGTGCGTGGTGGTAAGGTCAGCATGTGCAGATCCCCTGCCCTTCCAGGTCTAGGAGCTACAGATATTCACCAGCTGTTTCCAGCAGCAGCACAGGGTTAGAATGGGGAGGGAAGTGGGAGGGTCTGCTTTGGCTGTACTGCACTGCCAGACTGTTAGCAGCTAATCTCCCAATTTATCTGCAGGAGTCTCTAGGAGTTCAACCTTAATTCCAGCAGACTCCTGGCATATATTATGAACACACACAGAAAAGATGAGAGAATTGTTTTCTGCACCACTATAAAGGTAATACAGGACTATGTAGCACTTTATAACACTACATAGTCCTGTATTTTGTTTCAGCTACACCAGACTAACACGGCTACATTTCTATAAAGGTAATGTGCAGCTTTAGTAGAAAACAAAGAACACACTTTGAAAGGAGTAAAAGTAGTAACAGCAGCACTAGCATGTGTTGTGGTACACATGAAAAAGTGTGTGTTCGACAGATTTGCATTGCTCTTTGAAGTATGCTGAGCACAAAGAAATAGGAGCAGCTTGCCAGCCAGCTCACACCATCCCAAACCTGGTCATGTCCCCCTTTCTGTGGAGATGGGTTACAGGGGTGGGGAATGGGAGACAGCCTGATATAAGCAGCCCTCTGGTATCTTCCTCCCCTCTCCGCACAGTAAGCAGTGGGCAACACCATGGCACAGGGGGCAGCTCAAGTGCTGGCACTTGATAACCTCCCCCAAACCAACCAGCCAGGATCACCTGTCAGAGACTCTTAAGATCTACTGGCAGAGCCCGCTCCATTAGTTGGTGTCCCCTGTTTTAGTGGGACAAGATAACCATGCCCCTTACTGAGTTGGTTTTAAAACTCAGGGCTACATCTACATTGCAGGCTTCTTGCCCAAGAACTATTTTGCGGAAAAGTTCTTGCGCAAAAGGTCTTGTGCAAGAGCAGTTCCACACGGCCATTTGCTTTTGTGCAAGAGCATCCATGGCAGTGTGGACACTCTCTTGCGCAAGAAACCCATGTTGCCCGTCCATACTGCCCTCTTGCACAAGAGGGCTCATTCCTCATGGGGAGAGGAATAACTCTTGCGCAAGAAGCCCTCTGTTCTGACGCTTTACTGTAAATTTACTTGCACAAAAATGCACGTGCAGTGTAGACACCCTGCAAGTTTTTGCACAAGAACTGGCTTTTTGCACAAGAACTGCAGTGTAGGCATAGCCTAGCTGTTTAAGAACTTTAGGGTTCTGTTGAACTAAATGTGGAGTTGGTCAGTACAGTAGCCTGAAGTCTGAAATTTCATCTCATGCTGTAGCCACATTGTATTTGCTATATTGTAGATTTTTGTATTGACAATGCCTAAATGCACTAGAGGTAGGAATGTGAAACTGAAGGCACTGACAGCTGCAAGGGAGGTGAGGAGGGAGAAGAGTGGAGATAGATTTTTTTTTTTTAAAACAGTGCATGAAATAATTCTGAAACCTGTCATTTACCCATTTAACAAATAGGCTAGTTCACATCTGAAATTGTGTTTCAGGTTGAATGTACACGCTTGCTATTGCATTCTGCTCATGCTTTCAGCATTAGCTCAGCAGCTCTAAAAGCAGAAAAGATTCTTCTGTAAACAGATTCTAGAACAATTCCTGTCTCAGGCTCCTGAAAACAACCTTTTAGAGTACATTTACAAACTGATATGCATTACAGTGACCATCTCACATTAATTGACAAACAGCACACTCCCCGGAAAATTTGACCCTTGCTGTTTGGCTTATATGATCAATTTTCTCTCACCCAAAATTAGTCTGTCTGATTAAGGGAGGCACAACACCAGCATGCCACAGAAAGAGTCAGACACAGAAGCAACCTTTGTTTGAGGTACATTTACAAACTGATATGCATTACAGTGACCATCTCACATTAATTGACAAACAGCACACTCCCCGGAAAATTTGACCCTTGCTGTTTGGCTTATATGATCAATTTTCTCTCACCCAAAATTAGTCTGTCTGATTAAGGGAGGCACAACACCAGCATGCCACAGAAAGAGTCAGACACAGAAGCAACCTTTGTTTGAGGGAGGAAATAGTTCTAAAGTCCCTGGTGCGAAAAGTTCTGTCATAGCCAAGTGAATGTGGAGTTTGTAATTTACTACATAAGTGTTACTGCTTCAGTGTTTCATTACGTTGACAGTGTCAGGACACATGGGAAAGCCTCAGAAAAAGTCTGGTTTGAAAATCAAAAGGCACAGCTGTTGCCTGCTGAGATCAGAGTTTCATTCCTGTTCCTGCCACTGTTTTCCTGCATTACCTTAGGCAAAATGCTCTGGCTCAGCTTCCTCAATGTATAAAATATGGTTTGCAGTTTCCTTTCTCCTTTGAACACAGACACACCCAGATCTCAGATGGCAACTCAAGATGTTACTATACAAAAAGATAAAATGAAACCTTCATACTCATCTTATGAAAGTCTTCACAAGAGACCTACATAACAGACAGAAGGTGTTTCCACACATTGGTTGAAAGTGGTTTTGACTATGCATGTACCAAAAATGATGAAACCCTCTACAAAAGCAGACTTCAGTTCCATATACTCTTTTAAAAAAACTTTATTATAAAAGATAGAAAATGAGTTAAATTTGTTCCTCTTTCACAATGTTAATCATGGCAATTATAAAAACAAAATAAACATGTGTAAGTAGTTTCATATCTAAGTTAAGTGTTTGCTACTTTGACCAGCAGATGTGGCAAAGTTACTCAGTATCATCAGTGCTATAAAAGGTAGTCAGAGAGCATCAATCCAGTAGCTGATGAGAAACAGGTTTCCCTTGAAACACATGAAAGCTGGCATGTTCACCACCCTATCTTCAATTGGTGTATGTCAATATAGTTCTATTGATTTCATTTGAGCTATGCTGTAATCTGGCACTTGCTTTCTAGCTCCCAAATGAATGATTGATTTAAGATGAAACAGCCTTTGAAGAGACTGTAAACTATACCACATCCTTCCTAATTTTCACTCCATAATGAACATTTTTAAATTAGCTTAATATTAAAATGATCTGAAGTACCAAGATTTCAAAGCAATGCTTCTTGAAGAGGTCATGTTCCACTCTTGCCACCAGACATTTTGCAGCTTTCAAAAGCAATTTTTAAAAACTTGATTCTTTTTTCTACTTTGTAATTCAAGGTGATGTCCCATGTTTATAGAATTTCAGGTTTTAGCCATCAAGTTGCACTGCTAAGTTTAGTATTTTACTATGTTAGTTGCTGTTCTTATACAAAGTCGAAGAGCATTACAACAAAGCAAGAGAGGTCAATACTATTTGCTGCCTAGGAGTCAGAGGAATACAAGTGGGGGTGATGAGGGAGGAGGAAGGTAAAACTGCCTGCATAAGCTAGATCCAGGCTTGGAAGGTATGGCCTTTATAACTGTCACTGTAGAATGTGACAGACCATCACATTCAGATGCAAGGGGAAGATTGTGTTTAGAGGCCAGCGAGGAGGAGCTGGAGGAAAGTTTGACTTGGTGGTATTATTGAGTGATCCATTCTAAGCCACTCTTGTTCACTTCTCCAGCAGTGATTAAAAGAAGAAAGACACTAGGTGGTCTTATAACTCCTTTCACACCGTGTGCTAACTGGAGTGTAGAAGAAGTGTAGGTATTGTCAACCCCAAAGGCTTCAGATATGTACTTTACCTGCAGAATGGGTTTTCTATGTTCAACTCAAAAGGGGAGTGGGGAAGAAAGCACTGATTAAGAGGCAGAGTTAGTGTTCTGAGCAAGCTCAAAAAATCTGCATTTAAATAGAGAAGTGCTAAATTTGAGGTTATCCTTCTATGAAGAGCCAATATCAATCATCAGGAATGAAAGCTATTTACAAAGTACCATAGCTGAAACAAAAAGAGGTCATTAGGGCAATTAAAGCAAGGGAGGGGACTATCAGCAAGCCATCATCTGTCAAACTTACAACTCCAGCTTTGCCTCACTGCTTCTTGGAGGACTGGGGCCATTCTCCAAGCGGAGACCACACAAACAGCTTGGTACCAAAATTACCTCATCCCACCTCACAGATAGCTTAAAATGGAGGGTGAAAAAGAGCCTTCTTATTCTACCTCTGAGGCAGAGTCCAGTTTCTGAACCCCCACAAAGAAATATAAATATTAATCCAGTGCAATTAAAACACAAGGTACTTAGTACAGTTTGTCACGGTTCAGTAATATACCCATTAGAAACTGTTCCTGTGTTCATATTTGCAGGTTTTGTACCAGTATTGAAGATTTAACAGTTGTGAAGACACTGCAGTGAAGATACTTCAATATCTTGTGTGTCTTTAGTATTTCTTCCCTTGTACAATTACTATAGGATGCTCATGTCTGGTGCGAATCAAGGTGGTCTCTTCAAAGTCCATTACAAGATTCAAGGAAAGTGTGTGAACATTGCACATATTTAAAATCACAAGTTACCATCTCAGACTTGTTTTTAGGCCTTCACATAACCAAGCATTTGCAACAAACCCAACAAGACTCACAAGGAGAAACACCTTAGTTATTGCACTCAAATATACTCCACCCTTAGTGCAAGGTCTCTGCAGGAACAAGAAGTTTGCATGGTACAGCAGGATAAGTGGGCCATTGAGAAAGCGTAAGACAACATTTAGTGTATTGGCTTAATAAAGGGTTGTCTTCCATAACCAATGCACACCTTACTTTTGTTAAGCAGGGTTAGGTAACAAGGACACCAAGTCAGCACTGCTAGATAGACCCTGGACATTGCCATCTCAGTTTAGATGCTTAGAGCCCTTTTCAGTAGCTTTTAACATGCACCATTTGGTCAGTTAGAGAAGTAATGGAGTTCTTTCCCCAGCTGGCTGCTCTTTTCGGAAGAACTCCTTGATCTGCGATAGTTTGTTATGGATCCTTTCTCTTAGAGGAGGGATGTGGTGGCTAGGATCCAGGATGTTAGTAATCCTACGCTCCCTTTCTCGCTTCCAGATACGATAAGGGTGCGGTGGGAAGGGTATCTCACGTCTCTCTCGGCGAAGCTGCACTGTTATTCCACAGACTGCCAGCATCCCCCATACTGCCAAGATGATTAAATCTACAAGGAAATAGGAAGCCATTCATTGAACTAGAATCAGAATGAAGGGATATATTTTTTTTCTCTCTCTCCCCCTCTCTCCCCCTCCCCCTCTCTCTCCCCCCAAGCAACATTGCTGGAAATATCAGGCTCAGATTAAGATGCTGATTTGCATACTAACATGCTTGGAGCAAGCTGTCAGAGGAATGAAAAAATACAAGTCTTGGTGTGTACTACAAACACAGTGGCTGTGTCTAGATTGCATCCCTTTTCCGTAAAAGGGATGCAAATTAGCACATCGCAATTGCAAATGAAGCGGGGATTTAAACCCCCCCGCTTCATTTGCATAAACATGGCTGCCGCTTTTTCCCGGCTCGGAGCTTTGCCGGAAAAAAGCGCCAGTCTAGACGCGGATCTTTCGGAAAATAAAGCTTTTTCTGAAAGACCCCTTATTTTAAGAGGAATAAGGGATCTTTCAGAAAAGGCTTTATTTTCCGAAAGATACGCATCTAGACTGGCGCTTTTTTCCAGCAAAGCTCTGAGCCGAAAAAAAAGTGGCAGCCATTGTTTATGCAAATGAAGCTGGGGATATTTAAATCCCCGCTTCATTTGCAATTGCGATGTGTCTAATTTGCATCCCTTTTACGGAAAAGGGATGCAGTCTAGACGCAGCCAGTATGTTTGTAGAGAGGAAGAGTAATCTTCTAGTTAAAACAGGGGATTGAGTCAAACTTAAAAGTCCAACTTTGCCTCGCTACTTCTTGTAGGACTCTGGGCAACTCACTTACACTCTGTTTCTACATCTATAAATGGGAGGGGAGGGAGGAGGAAAACAACGTGTCTCCGGCGTGCTGGGATGATTACAGTTTTTAAGAAGTGTGTTGAGGGCCTCTGAAGATTAGCATTTGCGGAGAGGGTTTCCCAGAACAGTTCTTAATCATTACACGGATACCGTAACATTAGCACAATCCAGGATTCACATTTGGTAAAAACTAACTTCTCTTGCAATCAGATTGGAAGTTGGGATCTTACAGAAACCCAGAGCCTTTAATTGCATCTATAAACCATGTTCTTCGGCCTATCCTTGCCAAATAACCTGGAGCTGCTCTAAAGTTGCAAAACCCACCTCCTCACCCAGCAATTTAAGTTCACAGAAAAGCCTCAAAAAATCCCACAAGAGCAAAGGAGAGAGAGAGAACAGTGTCCTCTGACAGCATGGCAAAGCATAGGCCTGCCCACAAGGCAAAGGCCATGGAAGTACCAGAATGGAAGGCTACTGCTCCAGAAGTAGCTTCTCAGTAAGAGTTTTAGAATCATTTTGATCCAAAAGGATACTTAGTGGCTTGGGAAGAGACAGAACCCAGATACTCACCATTTGTTTGGAAGGGCACATTAGTGTAAGCTTGCCTGAAGTCGTCATTCAGAATCCTCCTGAGTACGTCCAATGTGATGTAAGCAAGGCTTGTGTACAGGTAACAAGCAATAGCCAAGACCACCGAGTAAGAGCCAACTATGCCACAGGCCAATATGTTCAGCTAACAAAGACAGAAAGGTCAGATTTTTCAGTGGCCACCAAAGAAGCATCCATACAGACAGCATAGGGAGAGGTCTTATTTACCTTGTCTTCCCTCCTGCATTTCTCATCTTTGCTTGTCTCAAACGCTTGTGGCAGCTTGTACACACACCCGCATTTGTTATTAAGTTGACTGGATCAGCTATAAAGCCATGGCATCTTGAGCTTTAAAAAGCCACCCAGGATCCGAGGTGTGCAGTCTAATGGCAGGCCTATGCTAGCCATCATGTCACTGCTACTGTCTGAGCTCATTGAATCAAAGCTAATTTTGAGGTGATGCTGCGGTGCTGCACTGCAGTGACACCTCTGACTGCAACGAGGGTAGCATATTCTTAGTCTCCTCAAGATAGTTTTGTGTGTGCCTATAATGTATGTAGCACAACAGGGTCCCAACACAAACACAATGTGCCATAAATAATGTGTTTAACACAAGTGAGGGGGCAGGTGCTAAAGGTTTCAGGGATCTCTTTGGAGAGCTGCACAAGGCTCTTTGATTCCACCCTAAGCAAACCTCTTCGTCTACCCACTCTGTTGTTTTCAACTGTTGTAGAGAGTGAAGCCAGGTAGGGCAAATACTTACAATTCTTGGACAGCCAACAAAGACTACTGGCACCATCAATGCTATGCAAGAAAAGGTCACCCAAAACACAGCATCATCATGGAAAACCTTGTAGTCTCCTGTGAAGAGACACTACGTTGTGATTCAGCCACTAGTGAGACTTCATGTGTAAATGGAGTTGATTTTGCAAAGTAAAGAATAACAATTGATACTACTTTAAGACTAGAGCAGGGAGGGGCAATAATTTTTGTCCAGGGGCCACTTCAAAAATTTTTGAAGTAGCCCTGGGCCATGCCAAAAGGGGCAGGGCTACCCTACCCCCAGACAATCATTGGTCTGGGTGTGGGTGAGCTCCCTTGCCCCCCATTCCCACTAGGCACCCATGACCTGGAAGAGGCATGTCAAGCTCCCCCACCCTAAGGCCAATCAGGACCTGGGGGCAGGGGAGCGTGCAAAGCCTCCTCCCACCCTGCGAGGAGCACGTGGCACTCAAGTGCCGCAAGCTACTCGCAGGGCTGGGGCAGGGTGAAGGAAGCTTCACACAGCTCCCCTGCCCCCAGCCCCTAATTGGCCTGGGAAGCATATGAAACTTTCTCTGCTTTGCCCCCACTTGGTGGGCTGGATCCAGCCCGCAGAGGCCATTTTGCCCACCCCTGGACTAGAGTATCATCTCAAAATATAGGGACTTCTGGGAATAAATGCATAGAGAGTATTGTGGGGAGAGATTGTATAGTTACATATGGGCAGCAGAACAGATCAACCACTGAATTTCTTGCTTTCTATTTCTGTTCATTGTGTTATACAAAATCACCACTTTCATCACTTGCAGTCTATTGCAATAGCCAGTGGCTACACTGCTGGATTTAACAAACAACTGTACCATAGGAGTACACAGTAAAACTAACGGAGAAGTGAAAATGTTGATAAAAAAATTGCCCCCCCCCCAAAAAAAAAGAAAGTCATGTTAAAACCTGAGATGTCAAAAGAGCTTTAGAAAAAATTGAAAAGATTCCAACTGCCTTACTGACTGGATGAGCTTATAATCCAAAGGCCACAAGCTCTGTGTGGGCAGATCCCCGCACCAGTGAAGAACACCACTGACTTCAATAGGGGTGCACATACCGAGATTATTGCAGGATCAGTGTCTAAGTCATGCACTAGTGAACTCTTTCCTACACTTCATGGTCCAAACTGAAAACCTACAGCTTGGAACTGTCCCTTCTCCCCCATGTCATTTTTGGCTTGAGGGTTTATGTTTGCTGGAGAAAGAGGAAAAACAAGGGACCGGTTCTGAGTTCAGTACTGCCATGGCACTGCAAGATGAATGCCATCTCTGGAGATATAAAAATCAGAGAGAAGGAAGTAGCTTGGGTTGACACTACTTTTCCAGAAGTACTTCAGTTCAGTAGCCTAGCTGTAAATCAGGCTTTGAAGTAGTGTTGTAATTAAGGGGTACTAGAGGAACAGCAGCTGCATCTATTTGTGAAGTCACACCAGACACTAAGAGCACATCGGTACAGTTAGGAGTAAAACTCCTCCCTCCAAGGCAGCACTGTGCACAAGGCTTTTTGTTTGTATGTTCATCTCCAACATGCCACCAAGCAAGGAGCAGCTCTCAGAACATCTTCAAGCAAAGTCTCTTCCCCAAGTTACAGGATTGCAGGTTCTCTATGGGTGTAACCTACTGGGGGACGGGAGAAGCAAGTATGTATATACAAGCATGGGGAATAATGTTGGTATTATGTTAGATTTCTGAAAAAGCAAGTACACTAGGGATGGTCCCAATACAGAGTTTTTTGTGGCCTGCCACATATCAGGGGATTTGGCTTTTTAAAAGCTCATTTTATAAACTACATTTTGTCTGTATGCTACAGCACTTGTCACTTTAAACGTGCAGCAGAAAAGTGCAACATAATGCTCCCAGCCTTCCACAGATCAGCCAACAAGTGGCATCCTCCCCAGAGGCCCAGTCTCTAACGCTGTAGCGGTAACAAAACATCAGAAGCTACTACCCCCCCTAATCCCAGCAGTTTGGTGACAATGTAGCAGTACAGTCTCTGAAGACCTAGTCAGACTAGCGGAAAATGCTAAAAGACATACCTAATGGAGTGAAGAAGATCACTGATGAGAAGAAGAATCCCAGCACAAGTCCAACAATCAACATACAGAAAAGGACAAAGCCAAATCTCCACCAAGAAGCAACCAAGAGAAGCCCTCCAACAAGTCCAGCTACTGCTGTCAAAATCAGACAAACTGAAAAAAAAAAAGAATGGGAAGGGGTTTGGTGGGGGAGGGAGAAAGGGTAAGAAAAGCATCTCCACAATGCCAAATTCCTTTAAAACCCAGTTTTGGCAAGGTTCTAAAAGATCACAGTGATTGAGGTGATATGCAATGCTCCTTTGATCATATACAGTCAATTCTACTTTTATCTGGGCAAACCCAATGGATAATGAAACCATTAACACTGCATTTCAGCCAGTACACTAGGCTATAAACTAGTCTTTAGTTGAAATGCTTCCCAGCACTGATCAGAATACCAGAATCAGGATGAGACTCGGGACTTGGTAGTGTCATTGCATTAAGAATCCTAGGCTAGTGCTTCAACCAGAAGGCCACCCTTTCTTATTGCAATGGCAGTGGAGGAAGAGGCACAATGCAAATGGACTGCTTTCCAAAGTAATAGCCTTCCTCTAGTATCCCAATCCAAACAATTTAATGTCTGCCATCCTACAGTTCACCCCAACTCAAATGTAACTGCTGGCTCATCATCTGGTACTTTAGATACTTTAGCAGTTAGGCTTTTAGATACTATTTGGACAATTTCTACTGCCAGGCTAGTGATTGTTAAAAATGGCAGAGTCACATGTTAATCATTACAGAAACTTGTTGGCCCTAACGAAGGGCCATGATACCCATCCCAACTGATTTCAATGGAACATTGCCATTGACTCCAACCATGCACTCTCTCTCATGCTCCCCTCCTCTCCCCCCCAAAAATTTGTCTTTACTTACCATCATAGCTAACAGAGGTTATTCTAGTAAATAATATAAAGGAAAAGAATCCTGTGACAATGAAGCCCATGTAGAACAAATCTAAAATAAAAAAGGCAAAAATGTAGTGTGGTATGCAAGTTCTGACAATTTTCAATTCTAAGCCTGCTTTTGTGTACAGTTAAAGACCTCTCTTCTCCAGGTACTGAGATGTTTGTTATAAAAGTAGTTTGCCCAAAGTAAAAAAACAAAACACAGACCCACACAAACATCCGACACTGGTAAATGAAGTTAGCTCACTTCTTCAAAACTCAGAGCCAGCCTACAGTAAGACTGCCCTTCCCCCTCCAGCTAATATTAGTTTCCTGTTCTGTGACATCTATAGCCAGTTTCTCATCAACTGCAGATACAAAATTTTCAGCCCATTATAAAATTAAATGATTTACAACAGTGGGTATCCTCCTGTAACATTTACAGCAAACCTCATTAAATAGGAGATAAATACATGTGGGCTCAAAAGTGAGGGGTATGCAGATTATGGTTTGTTCAATTTACAGCCAGGAAGCTCTATTAAATTCAAAACAAAGACAGGAACACCTCTGCCCCTACATTCCACAGTACCTGTTTTCCAGAACCTGTGCCCAAAGAAGCAAATAAAGAGACCAAGAACAGCAAAAATGGTGAAGAATATTTTGGTGGAGAGTCTTCCTATAAAGAAAGAAAAAAAATAAAGTTGGGCATGCTTATGCAGACACAGTTGTAGAGAAGGTAACAAGTCATGGCCACAAGTACTGCTTGAGCTAAAGGAGCATCTTCTTTAATAGAAAAGGGTTTGGAACTATTGAGAAATTCCAATTATATCTCCAATTCCAGCATCAGTGCAGGAATGAGGCTCTTAACATCAGAGCCTGAAGCAAAAGTTTAAGATGGCCAATCAAGTCACATGTCATTTAAACATATGATGTAAGTAAAATTACAGTGGTACGAGTTATCAATTATATTTCAGTTACAACATTCTACCAACCCTTAACCACAGCTTTGAGATGGCAAGTCACAACCCTCACTGACAAAGAGCCATAGTGCTATGACATAGGAAACAGCACTATTCAACAATTTAAAAGTCTGACGGACTAGCTACACTTAGTGCTGCTGTTGCACCATTGCAGCGCTTAGTGAAGACGCTCCTTGCACTGATAAGAGAATTTCCCCAGAAACAGTAGCTATCTTGATAGGAGAAGCTTTACTGTCAATAGAACCCTGAGCAGATACAAAATTTGTATTTGCATCTGCAGAAATGAGCTGGGGATATCCACATCCACAGATGTGGATACCCACATATATAAACTGGATATCTGCAAATTTGCAGGGTTCTAGATACAACATTGGTATCTGCAAAAATGATATGTGGATACCTGAGGACATAAAGCAGATATCTGCAGATTTGCAGGGCTTTACCTATCAACCCCGTACTCAGAAGCTCAGTCAATATAACTCCATTGCTCACAAGTGTGGATTTTCTACATCCCCGAGCAATGTAGTTATACCAATATAATTTCATAGTGTAGGCCAGAGCAAAGTACCAACAGTCATTTATTTGATACCTCATTCTCCATTAAACCAACTTGCAGAAGAGACCCTGCTCCCTCTAACTATCCTCATGAATTTGAGTTTCCTCAAATGTTCCGTTACAAGACAAATGACTTGTTCTTACTGATGTTATAACAACTGGAAAAGGGAAACTAGAGTTTGATTCTCTGGACATGTTAAGAAGATTATCCCATCTAAAGCTCTTTCCCACAGACTGCAGAATGCTTTTGTCAAATAGTTTAAATACCATTGCTTAAGTCAAAATATACAGTTTTAGAAGAGTATTTCTCTGCTGCAACTCATTTTCATGGGCCAAATTCTCCACTATTATGTCCCTCAAACAGTCATTTACCCCCACCAGCCATATACAGTAAAACTCCATTAGTCCGGCATCCAATGCTCCGGAACTCCTGATGGTCCGGCACCATCAGGAACCCGGAAGTGCTGGGGCAGCCGGACAGGCTTCCCCCATTCAGCTGCTGCTGAAACTGACCAGCAGCTGAATCGGGGAAGCCGGGAGCAGAGCAGCTGGGGTGCTGCCGGGTTGGTCTGGGGACACCTGGGGCAGAGCAGCTGGAGTGCTGCCGGGTTGGTCCCGCAGCACCGTCCTTTGGCGCTACGGGACCAACCGGGCAGTACCCCCGCTGCTCTGTCCCAGGCGTCCCCAAGAGCAGCTGGAGTGCTGCTGGGTTGGTCCTGCAGCTCCGTCCTTTGGCGCTACGGGACCAACCGGGCAGTACCCCCGCTGCTCTGTCCCAGGCGTCCCCAAGAGCAGCTGGAGTGCTGCTGGGTTGGTCCTGCAGCTCCGTCCTTTGGCGCTACGGGACCAACCGGGCAGTACCCCCGCTGCTCTGTCCCAGGCGTCCCCAAGAGCAGCTGGAGTGCTGCTGGGTTGGTCCTGCAGCTCCGTCCTTTGGCGCTACGGGACCAACCGGGCAGTACCCCCGCTGCTCTGTCCCAGGCGTCCCCAAGAGCAGCTGGAGTGCTGCTGGGTTGGTCCTGCAGCTCCGTCCTTTGGCGCTACGGGACCAACCCTGCAGCACCCCAGCTGCTCTATTGCAGGCATCCCCGATTCAGCTGCTGCTGAAACTGACCAGCAGCGGCTGAATCAGGGATGCCTGGGGCAGAGCCAGACTATCGTAAGGGGGGGCTATGAGGGGTCTGGGGTGGCATCCCTTCCCACCCCACTCCAGACCCCTCATAGCCCCCCCTTCTGATAGTCCAGCATATCTGATAATCCGGCACCCCCTGGGTCCTAAAGGTGCCGGATTATCGGAAGTTTACTGTATAAGGCTAGCATGACATGCTATAAGCATCAGAATGACAGCTTTCCTTCCATCCCTCACAGCTGTCTCCCATTCCTCCCATTCACTTTGTAAGCAATTTCATGAGCTGCCAGGAAGCAGTGAATAGGGAGCTATGCTTTTCGGCTGCCAGCACTCACTTGTGCAGTTAAGGTCAGAACGACAGTTATGTAAAAAAAATGTCACCTGCTTACTCAAGAGGTTTACTCCCTGCATTCAGTCATATTTCAACAGCTTGCTGATAAATACACTTCACACTCTTTATTTCCTTTCGCACTGACATTTTAACCTTGATATTAGAAGGAGCTGGATCCTATTGGCATCCACATGCCATATTCATTAACCAATACGTTTATTTGCCACATTCTTCTTACCGGTAGGACACGAAATTAAAAACACAGCTTAGGTAGCCAATTAAAGTTTAGCTGCTCTACCTGCACTTATGAATTTGGCAAGTAAGATATGGTGTCACTGAAAGAAGCTAACCCTACCACAGAATCACTTTTCATGCTTTCAAATGCTATGAAATTGGCAGCTTCTTGCTTTGCGTTTAATTTTCTCCAAAGCTGCTGACAAATGCAGAAACCCAAGCCCAGATCTGAGCATGTTACGTAGATCAACTCACCATGAAAGCAAGAGTGTGTATTTAAAAAACAAAAAACAAAAAAACCCACCGGTATTCTGGACTTACCAAGAGAGGAACAATTCTCCACCAGGTCAGTGAGGCTACAGGCATATGTATGAACAGGCACATATGCAGCAGAGGTATTCCAAAGTGGATCCCACACAATGACATTATAGATCACCCCTTGTCCAGGGAGTGAAGAGAAGTGTACATTGGTCTTTTCCTCAGTTGTTAAGGAAACCAGCTGAAAAAACAAAATTTGTCACCATTGATGAATACACTCATCTTACAAAAGGGATCTGCCCTTTTCCTCCATTGCATCATGCCTAGGGCATATGCCATTCAAGCAGAAAGTCTTGGCAAGCCTAGCTAATCAAGTTGCAAGATTAATCAGGTCAGGTATTTACTCTGGAACAATATTTAAATATCTAGAGGCAGAGTTAACTAAATGGGATAAGAACATAAGAACGGCCATATTGGGTCAGGCCAATAATCCATCAAGCCCAGTATCCTGTCTGATGACAGTGGCCAATACCAGATGCCCCAGAGGGAGGGAACACAACAGGTAATCCGCACATGATCTCTCTCGTCATCCGTATCCCGACAAACAAAGGCTACGGACACCATTCCTACCCATCCTTGCTAATAGCCATTGATGGATCTAACCTCCATGAATCTAGCTAGCTCTTTTTTGAACCCTGTTAAAGTCCTAGCCTTCACCACATCCTCTGGCAAGGAGTTCCAGAGGTTGACTGTGCACTGAGTCAAGACAAATTTCCTTTTGTTTGTTTTAAATCTGCTGCCTATTAATTTCAATTAGTGATCCCTAGTTCTTATATTGTGGGAATAAGTAAATAACTTTTCCTTATTCACTTGTTCCATGCCAGTCATGATTTTATAGACCTCTATCATATCTCCCCTTAGTCTCCTCTTTTCTTAGCTGAAGAGTCCAAGTCTTTTTAATCTCTCCTCCTATGAGATCCATTCTAAGCCCCTAATTATTTTTGTTGCCCTTTTCTGAACCTTTCCCAATGCCAATATAGCTTTTTTGAGATGAGGAGACCACATCTGTACACAGTATTCAAGATGTGGGCATACCATAGTTTTATATAGAGGCAAGAAGATATCTTCTGTCTTATTCTCTATCCCTTTTTTAATGATTCCTAACATTCTATTTGTTTTTTGACTGCTGCTGCACACTGAATGGATGTTTTCAGAGAATTATCCACAATGACTCCAAGATCTCCTTCTTGAGTAGTTGTAGCTAAATTAGTCCTCCATCATATTGTATGTATAGTTGGGAATATTTTTTCCAGTGTGCATTACTTTACATTTATCAACATTAAAATTCATTTGACATTTTGTTGCCCAATCACTTAGTTTGGTGAGATCTTTTTGAAGCTCTTCACTGTCTGCTATGGTCTTAATCTTGAGCAGTTTGGTATCATTTTCAAATTTTGAGTCCCCCACTGGCCCTGTGCTCCCAGCAGTGCTTAGCTTTTGAACTGTAGCAAGACTCCTGCTCTTGCTACATTTCAAAGGCGGAAGCACAGCCAGTTCCCTGCTGCGTTCCTACCCCTTCTCACCATAAAGACGGTGCTGGGGGGAACCAGTGTTTAAGCCAGCTTCCCCCAGCACTGGATCCTGGTCCCTGGCTTGCTGCCTCTCTCCGATAGAGACAGCAGGGAGTGGAGTAGGGGCAAAATGACTAGCTGAATCTCTAGTTGACTATCCAATAAGCAAAATGCTTTTCGGATAGTCAACTAGTCACTTACATCCCTAGATCATAACTCTGAGGGCAAAACATATGCATAGCAATGTCTAACAGCAAGTAGTTTTACAAGATACCCATTTCACATGTCACACCCACAAGTAAACGTCAATACCAGTGGTGTCGGGACAACGAACAGAACCCAGAAGGAACTTACCTACCTATTATTCTATGATTCTATGATTCTATAGCTTCCTGGGGAGTCAATACTGCAGCTATTTGTTTCACCTCCTTCCCCTCCACACTTTTTTCTGAGAAACTAGAATTAATGTCAAACAAACTGTTTTTAATCCAAATGTTTGCCAAGCTTACTCGAATGCCATTGGCTCTGATGCTCTGCACCTCAGACATCTTTCGCAGGTGGCTCAGGAGTACAGTTTCTGAGAGATCATTCTCTGGTAAGAAATACTGATAGATGTCATAGCGTAGTCGCCATCTAGAGTTCTGGCCCGTATCTGAATCACACGAGGGAGGGTTGGCACCTCTGGAATTAGACAAACAAAAGTTTATAGTAGCCGCATCCCCAGGCCAAGAATCCTGGTCTTAGGTATGTATCAAGAATTGTCAGAAGCAGAACTTGAGATTTGAACACCAGTATTTCAACATCCAGATTCAAGGCTAGGCTTCAGAATTTAGCACTTTTAAGTAAGTTCAGGCTGAGAGTTAGGATTTGAATCCGTCTCCGAACTATAATGTAGGTTGTAAAATCTTCTGGGAAAGAGATTATGTTTTACTGTGCATTTCCACAGCACATAGAACAGACCTTGCCCTCATAGCGAATGCTTCACATAACCCTTGCAAGGAAATATAATTTAAATGACCATTTGGAACATCTGTCACAACAGCCAGGCAGACATTAGGAGAGAATTCACATTTTTCCCCCCCCAGGAGTAGGTTAAAATGAAGAAACAGAGCTAAAATAGAATCCATCCAACACCACAGAGCTTTAGAAAAGCCCTTCCTCAGAAAGAGTTTCTGATTTGACTAAGGCACAAATTCCATCTGGCCTTATATTCTTCCCCACCCTCGGCTCACAGCCATCTATCAGGATGCATTACACTATGCAGAAGATTATAACATGCAGTCCTAAGCAGTAAGATTAGGTAAGCCTGTCAGACAAGGGTCCTGCTATCATGGTAATAGAATGAAGAAAAAAAACAAAACCAAACAGTAGTATAAAATGGTTTCTAGAACAGACGTTTTCCATGAAGAATCATTGTCCCAATAACTGTCTACTGCTCACTAGGGTAAACATATCAGAAATTTTGACTAGTAGTATAGTCTCTCTTACAAGCTATGTGTATTCTCTTCACCCCATTTCTTCTCCCCCTCACAAAGTTAACTTATTTTAAGAATACACATCGTCAGTCACTCACCATCTACTTCTTTTGCTAGAAGCAGCATTCTCTTGCCAAGAGAGAGAAGCAACCTTTCCAGCAAAATAATATAGTTTATGAAGTATTTCCAGCACCTCACGAATGCAATACAAGGAAAGCTATTTGTTAAGTTACACACACCTGGCATATCCCAAGTTTGCAGGAGCAAATTTGATGCGTGTGTCAATTAAGTTATACTCTAAATAAATATTGGGATCAACTTCCAAGTTAAATTCCAGATTGCAGCCTCCAGGGATAGGATCTAAAAACACAAAGTAAGACCATTTGATATAGCAAATCTTTCTCCTTCATGCAGAATTCTCAGCAGCACAATGGAAAGAAGCTACTGTTAATAAATGCAACAAAAACTAAGGCCCCATTTGATATGAACCAACAGACAATCTAAAGATCTTGAAATCCAAGGTCCTGATCCTGCAGGTATACACATGCAAGTCAAAGGGACTTCAGTGAAACTCTGACTATATTTAAACATGATGATAAGTGTTGGCACAGGATTGGGGCTTTAGATTAGCAAAGCCTGTACAGCCAGCTCCAAAACAGCAATTGTTTTAATATAATGAGTTCTCAATATAATGAGTTGCTTAAATGCTGAGCCCAAATTTGGCATCCATTCCCAGTAAGTGTCAGGGCTTCTGGTGTGTTTAATGCAAGCTATGCATAGCACTGGGCAACAAATATGGCCTTCTAGAGAAAGGATCTTAACTCCACA